AATGAGCTTAATTTGATGTTGTGGGCTTTTTTTTATCGGTATAGTTATGTAGTTAATTGTGGTTTTCTCTTCGAATAATAACTTTTTTTATAAATAGTCTGTTCATATACTATATTAAACCCGTTTCAATTAGCTATGCCGAAGAAAAAAAAACTTGATGGTTTTTTTATATATGTTATATTTTCGGTCAACTAGGCTATTTTCTGTCTCATATGAATAAAAGAAATGTTGAATATGTGCATGATAAATGAATTTGTCCATTGGCTTTTGATTGAGGTTTTTCGTTCCAAAGCAATCTGTCAATTAAATGAAACAAAAAAAAGAGAAACATTGATTCCATTTCAAATGGCATTTTGTGTAGACACACATTCAGAGAAATTCTTTAATTTAAACACCAAAAAAATGGAGCGACTAGACTTGCATCGGTGAAAATGTGTTTTTTTGTTGTATTTTTCATGTCACAACAATTCCCGCCAGAATCTCAGAGCACAGAAGGTGTAATATAACGATGGAAAGGTGTATGTGTACAAATCGATGGCTGCACACCAGTACAATATACAGATTTTTCGGATGAAAAAAACCTGAAATGAAATTTTGCTGTGCCCAGGTCTATGGGTGTGTGTAGTGCAAAAATCAACTTCTGCATCACTGACCACCGACACAGTATACTCATTTGAATCGTCCAATTGCAGCGAATATTTCAAAATGGAAATCTGGCTTTAAGCCAGATGAACCGAAATTGTAATAGCATCGCTTAAGATATGGAAAACTAAGATCTTCGATGAACATGTTTAAAGCAACAGAACAAAACGTAAAATAAACATTTTTGATGCGATTTCATAACATGAACAAATTGTGTTATTTGAGCCAGCAGCAAAATCGATTGATTTTATCATCAGTATATAAAATTGACCAGGAAATGCATCAATATCAACTCGATGGATATAAAATCAAACCAATGTAGAAAAAAAAACAGGGTAAAAACGCAAATCCAATGCGTTTACGTAGTGTGTGGTGCAACGATCAGTTGTGTGTTGGCATTTTAATACACACACACACAAATAAAAATATAATTCAATTTTGTGTTAATACAGTTCGATCGATCAATTCGGACCGGAGCAATGGGGGTTAAGTTTCAAGCCCCTAATGATACTTAGATGGGTATCTGTGTGCTTCGTAAATATTTGCAACGAAATGGATTTATGGTTAGTCAGTTCATTCGTTTGGATAGAGTAATCGCATCATTTTTTCTCTGTCTCAATTTCTAGATTTTTCTTCTTCTGCTGGCTCGTTCGTTTTTCAAGTGCTTCAATTGCAATTGTGTATTTTATGCAAGAAACCAATTCGATGGATATGTGTGTCCCTTCTCCCTCTCTCTCTCTCACTCGCTTTTTTACTCGATTACGTGCTGTGTTGTGTGTGCCATTGCATTGTGCAGTATATTTCATGCCATTCCACTGTGAGAGTGACAAGCGTTTGCATCGCTCTGAATATTCCCAATTGGATTTAGTTGTAGGTCGAAAGGTCAAATATAATAAATGTTTGAACAAAACTGTTGTAGCCAACCGAGTCCATCTTGACGATCTATTCCATGTGTTGGTGTATTTTCTGTTCATCTGTGTCTCTTTCTATCTTTCTCGTTGGTGTGTCCCTTGCTCTATGTCCAAATCGGATGCATGCATATTGCGATACAATGAAATCCTGTTTCGATACAATGTTCAAAGTTTGACCGAATCTACCCAAACATACGATGTAGCACATTAAATGTATGTTCGAAACAAAGACACACACAAAAAAAAGAGAATCTCTTCGATTCACACATAAAATAAACGAGATTATATATTCATTTTCTCTGTATCTCAACGGTCTTTTTCTCGATTTTTCTCTGCTCCTTTTTTTGCTCCTTCTAATAATACGGTTTTTATTCGAGATCGCTCACAGTTTTATTTGAATTGTTAAGGCACCAATAACATGTACATCTCAGTTCTTTTTGGTCGTTATTTAAAGTGGATATTCTCTCTTTTTCACTATCATTCTCTTCTTGTCTTTTGCTGTTGCTTCTCTCCTACCTTATTATTTATTCGTTTGAAACACAAGTAGTCCATTGTTTCTACCGTGATGAAGTCATATTATGGTTGAGTTTATAACATCAATGCTTGGAATTATCTTATCAACATGACAATTTTGAAAATTTTCTAAACACTTTAAAGGCAATGTTTACCTCAACTCCAATCCTGACCTATTTTATATTCTCATTAAATTGTACGGCGTATACAATGTTTAGCATCACTTCTCTTTTTCACTCTTCATGCTCTAAACTCAATAAAACCAAATGGTATTTGAAAAATTGGGCTAATTTAGTGCTACAAACAATCAATTTGGTCAACCGGATCACCGACAAATACTGGACCGAAAGCTTATTTATAAATATACTTTTGCACAGTGCTAATGTATCATGAACGTTGGCATGTAAGACACACAGAGAGGGGATATTATGCGGTCATTATGGCTTAAAACTCATTAAACTCTGTCGGTGTCGTCTTATTTCTCTCTCATTCGGTCTCTTCATATTTTTAATTTTCTTGATTTATTCATAACTCGACAATTTTCACTTCTACTTATTATTATTCATATTACAAGAACATGGAAATTACATTCGTTAGCCGCTAACGAACGGTTTACGTCAGAAATCTATTTGCATGCCACGCTCTGCTCGCACTCCATTTAAAGTAATGTATTGGGTTTCGAACACGCAGATGTGCTGCCACCTGGTATCTCAAAGTTAAGCTGCTATAACGCACATGCTTCTTGCAAATGAAGAAGAAGAGGAAAGCAATGTCTTTACGTAGGGTTGAACTTATAAATGTCAGAGAGCAGCACAACTGCAGTGTTCAAAGTGCGATTGCACTTCGTTGCATGCAATTTCAAAAAGCTTTGGCATCCGCTTTGCAAAAATAAGTTGAAATGTTTTTTTTTAATACGTTACAATTTAGCAAAGTTAGTTGTGCATGTTTGTCCTGTTTGTGATATGTTTCACTTTAAAAGATTTCAAATTGCAGTGAAGACACAATTTGCGTTCATGTCTTTACATGAATGAAATATAATCAAATGAATTAAACACAGAATGTCCAAAAGTTTGCTATTTTATATGTGCTTGAGTCATACCATAAATTGGTTTGTGATGTTTTGCATACAAAAGTGGAAAGAATAATTTTCAAATGCTCTCACACTTGTCGTTCTATTCCATCAATTTTGGTTTATTGTCACTTCGATATTCTGTCTCTCTGTTATTTCAAATCTATTTTAAACACTTGCTGAAACCCCAAAAATGTCTCTATTTTCATTGGAAACTTAGGCATTTTGTAACAAAATCTGCTACAATGTCTTGATAAAAGAAGTGCATTTTTTATAGCACATGTTATGCAGCATACACATATGCTCATTTGCTGTCCATAAAAAGAAAATCGATACACAAATGTGAGACACAAAATTGATGTATTCATACAAAAAAGTAGAATTCGTTCGTTACTTTGTTTGAAACGGTCAATTATTTGAAGAAATGATTTAGTTTCCAGTGATAAAGCACAGCAGATGATCATGTATTAACAACAAAGAGATATTCTCCACCTAGTTTAATATCTATGCACATGTGGAAAGTTTGAACGAATGTTTAGAATGAATCGGTGTGTTAATAACTAAGAATATTATTACTCTAAAAACCCATAAGCGCTTATCAAAATAGGCTTGTCGGGATTTTGGTCCTTTCTGTGGAATTTTGTGGATTTTCGCATCAAAAGCTCAAATTTTCGATGTGAAAATCTACAAAAATTTCCAATTTCGTGGATAAAAAATGCCAAAGAAGACCAAAATCCGATATCAAAATTTGCTTGTAGCATAAAGCACTAAATGTATGTGCATCAAAATGATTTTGTTTCAATTTCAATAATCTATCAATTAGCTGTAATCGCCTTAAAATATTACGTAAATGCAGAGAACTGATTTGAATGAATCACATATCAAGTAAATATGTATCTAAATTTTAATACTACTCATATGAGCCATTTGGAATGTGATTAGTGTTCATTCACAGTGAAATTTGGATTTAAATGTGTTCTTTTTCAACTAGTGATAATTGAGCATCAATTGAATTTGAATCATATCCAAATTGTTCATATTGCCGCTCTCATCACAAGAACCATTCAAATACGATTTATATTTGCGCATCAAAAAATGTCATTTTCAAAATCAAAAATTGATCATCATATGTGACATCATTTGCATGAACACGGTATCTTTTCGGTATCGAATAATCGTTCCATGGCTTCATATTTCATTATGTTTTGAATTGACCTTACTTTTGTGGGCGCGAACAAAAGACTGTCTGCATTAGATTTGAAGAGCGTTTATGAATTGATTTGCACATACACAAAATGTCGACATTTGAATCGGAAAATGTTGTGGGTGAATAGAAAGATTCACTATATGAACATAACCGACAGCCGGCGTTCTAATGTGGTGTGATATTTGGAATTGCATCAAAATAATTCATCGTTACATAAATGATTCGGGATTTTGTTGTCCCCTTGTCATTTTCACTCTCTAATCATTTTCTGTCTGTTGACTATAGTTCGCTTTTTTGTGTGTGTATGCTGTGTTTGCCGAACGGCGAAGGTCTGTGTGTGTACCCACATCATACATATACGCCATGCCATATTTCTGATTGTAAATTTAACATTCTTGGACTTGAAATTTTGCTTATGCATTTAGTTTTCTGTAAGTGATTGCCAACTTCTTCTTCTCTCCGCCCTTGTGCGATGATGGTAAAAACGACACACCAAATGGGCCACCCAAATGGTTGCGAAAAGGATGAGAAAAACATGTTGGATGTTCATATGCAGACATAAAATCGAGTCTGAATCTCTTTCAATACTGCTGAGTTGTTGTATGCCATGCAAATTGCAAACTATAACATAAAATGTGACATTCATGTGTATACTTACATCTGGTTGTGCTTCTCCATGCACGATGCAAACTAGCAAAGCTTCCTGATCTTCGCCGGAGAATACGACTGGAGTTTCGACCGTTATTTCAGGTGGATCTAGATTGTAAAATAAGATAAAAAGAGAAAGAATATCGTATTTACAACAACAATAAAAAAAATCAACAACGAAGATGAAACAAAACGAACAGAATAATAACAACCATGATTATTTATTTATACACAAAATTCATAGAAGCATACACACATACACACATGCATTACGTCTTATAAAACAACACATATCCACAACATACCGACATTGAAAATTGAATATAGCCAACGATAGAAAATCTTTAATCGCATTGTAGAATAACTGGATTGAGCAATTGAGCAATAACATCTCGAAAGCACTGAGAATAGAAAAGCGTTTGTGTGTGTGTGTGTGTCCTTACATCTACATATATTTCGATTTATCGCATTAAATCGCGTACAAAGATTCGCATTGTCGCACTTTCCTTCTCTCTGTATGACTCAAACTGAGAATATTCAAGCAATGATTCACACAAGAACAGCAGTAACAGACTACACAAACTGTCTGCTGTGTATAACCCACGACCATACACAAATACGAACAATTTCTCCCATAAAATATCCGTCGTTATGTGTGTGTGTTGTAGTCTGCATGTCAGCAAAGAGACACAATTTGCATTTTAAATTTTTCCAGACCTGAAAATTTATTTTAATCGCAGAGATGTTTCTTCCGTTGTAGACTGTTCCTGTATGTTCCTCCTTTTGCCATTTTCATATCTTTCATTTCGTATTAATGCATGAATATTCTTTGCAACGCCTGCGAACAAGAAAAAAAAATAGACGAGAGAGTCATTACACTAGATTTGTGTCCTAGTGTCGTCCGAATTGAGTTTGGTGTGTGCGTTGGCGCAAGCAAATGAACAGTCAAACGATGGCAAAAGGAAGTGAAAGGGAAACAGAAGATGTAAATGTCCAAACGTAAAGAGATTCGTAGACAGCAGACAGTTTCGCGTCAAATGGAATGAATAACAAAATATCACGTGTTTATGCGAATTGGTTTCCGTTGTTTACTCAATTCCGGTGCCTTGAATTGTGTCGACCGTAGGTTTTTATCGTCTTCCTTGTTGATGTGACAGTGAAATTGCTACGATCAATTTGGATTGAGGCGGAGAGAAATTGGTCGAACAACAGCAAAAGTGAGTGTGAGAAAGAAACACTGCCTCATTGCCATATATAAATTACGTTTTGGCTTCGGTTTCGAACTTCGTTCAACTGATCTTATCTTGCGAGATGAGTGTTTTCGCAACAATGCGTCAATGCCAATTTACATTGAAATAACGCAAAATTAAGACGATCCGAAAGTGAGCATGGGAAGGAAAGAGAGAGCGAAAGGGAAAGAGGGAGTTTGTGTGTCTGGTTCATTAGTGTCATTTCCCATGGTTCACATTATATACTCTCTCGATATAAGGCATTTTATGTCACTTTTCATATTGTCTTCATTGTCGTATGCATTTTCGCACTCAATTACCAATATGTCCATTTTCAATCCAGCCAAAAAATCGTACACAAGTCTATATCACATTGAAGCGAGGGTATCTGATTTTTATTCACTTAGCATTGTGTCTAACGACACAGTGATTAGAAATCAGATTAGCAACAAGCGATTCAAATGAACCAATTTAGAAGTTTTGTCACTTTTGGTGAATGGAACGGGGAATAAACGGGTGATGTACACACACACACAAACAATGAGTCACACCCGCACACAGAAGAGCATATGTAATAAGAGAAACTTTTATTTTCATTGATAACAAGAGAAATGACAGCATTATTACAAAGCTGGAAGAATAGATGAATAAAAAAAATGAATGCCATACTAGAAAAATGGTACTCATTTTATGGAAACGTTTGAAAGTGAGATGAATTCATTGTATTTAGCATGTTTGCAACGATAGAGTAGTAGGCAATATGGATTTTTCGTTTCATTCACTAATGGCACGCTCATGACTTGATATTGTAATCTATTGCGAGCAATCTTTGCCACTTTAGGCAAACGTGTATGAGTGAATGAACCATAAGCATCTGGATTCGTTTGACTCACTCTCTTTCTCTTTTTTTTTTCTATGTGTAAGTTTCGTTTTACACATTCTATCCCATTCAGACTTTCCGATCTCTTTCTTCAAAATTTTTTTTTGGCATGTGTGTTAGTATGTTTGATGATAATGTAGCCATGACACAAAGGAATATTTAATATCTATTCCTACAGCCAAATTATACATTAATACATCATAAAAATTGGATTTGTGCTTTTGTAACAAGATATTGAATATCGTGTGCCTGAGAACAAAAAGACATACAGTGAGAGTGTAAAAAAGAAATAGAAGCGATTGAGCGTTTAGATTGTGCATATACACTTTCGACATCGTGTCTGAAATCAGGCGGAATTTTAAGGACGTTTCCAATATTTGAGACTTTGAAAATAGAGATATTTTCTAACATTGTCTATGTTCTGGCATTCGGGTGTGTTTTTTTCTCTCTCCTGTGCAACGCTCGTAATTCTCTGCACGATAATATCACTATTTGAGTTCGCTTTTTTTCATTTTCTTTCTTTTATAGCAATGCTCAACATTCTGATTATATTTCAAATGTATAGCGATTTCGCTAAAGAGTTTTCATCGTTTATGAACGCACTCACACATGTACGATTTGCAACCGGGAAGAATGCGCGTCAAAGAAACGATAAAAAAAATAAGAGAGAAAAGAACGAATAAGAAGAAAATGAACCAAACCGAAGCAACCGACGAATGAATGAATGAACAAATAGAAGAACTCTCGACATAGATACAACGGTTATTTGGTTCGTTCTCTTGTTCTGTGCACAATCGAGCTACTATTATTCGTATTTTACATTGAAAAGCTTTTCACGTACAAACGTTTTCCTTCAGCTCAATTTTGAATTTAATACTTTATCTTTTATAAATTCTTGGTTATTATTTTGCATTTCTTCAATCTTTTATTCTTCCCTCTTTTTTCTTTGCTCTCTGTCGCTCTCTTTTCGCTTCTCTTCACTTCCGCTTCACTACCACTTCTTCCATTCTTTGTTTTCTGCTTTCTTTCATCATTTGAGCCAATGTTCCTTGTTTTACATTTATGATTCAGATGGTCTCTTTTCTTTTTGAATTAGTTCGGTTCAGGTGAATTTGATATGATCGACTGTGTGTTTGTAGGGGCGCGCACAAGCGATTGTTTTCTCTACGTGGGAAATCATTTTCTTTTCACAAATGGTTTGGTTGAACGGCCCAAATTGGCACCGCCAATTTGCAACGGAGAAAAAAAAACCTTAATAGATTTCTCGATTTTAAATCACAAAATAATCGATCCGATGGGAATGAGATGATGATGAAAAATGCTATCAAGTGAAAGAAAGATGTGTGTGTGTGTGTGATTGCCAATTGAATCAGTGCCTATTCACATTCCATTTGTTTTATCTCTCGGATGAGCTCAAATGGTGCAACCATTGGTGGTTGGTACTAATTTTCAATGCGCGAATAAAATACAAAATGAAAGTTTCCCATTTGTATTCATTAACTTGCAGTCGAATAAGTCAAATTTGATTAAATTTATGAACACAATTGCACAAGTAAGTGATTTAAATGGCCGGATTTTACACTTTCTTCTGTAAAACTTTTGCATTGCACAAATGTAACAAACGAAATGAAAACGAAACGACGCGTTGCATCTGAAAATTGTGCCCGTGAGTTAGTAAGTAGATATTCAAAAAATCAAGTTTTCTTTCACTTTTTTCTCAGTCTCTGTCTCACTCTAGCTCTTCCTTTTTCTCGTATTCGTGTAACACTAGTCACTATTACTGAAAAACACTGCAATACGGCGACTTTTTCCTTAATTCAAACAGAATTTTCTGCATTAAATATTAATCTGGGCATGTGGTTTTAATGAAAAATTATGTAAGAGAAAAACTTTGGAGCGCTTTTTTTTGTTTCTTCGTTGAAATTGTAGCTAAAGAATATGGTAAACGGAAAAAAGTTCACACAGAAAAAGCACCGGACGTGCTAGTGCAGAGCTTGATAATTAACAGCTCTTAGGAAAGTTTTGTCGGTTTACATGTATGTGAGAGAAAAGAGAGCGAGAGAGAGAGAGAGCTATCGAGTGGCGATTATTTGTTAGACCCAAGCTATTATTCGCAACTTATTAAACAGAAAGTTATAGTCAATGAAAGACTTTGTTTGTTTTTTTTTTCTAGCCTTTATAAAGTAAACAAGTAAACCAATTTTAATTTTTCACATAAGAATCCTTGTTGCTTTCAACGACCAAAAACGATAACAACAACAAAAAATCTAATTTGTTTGCAGTAAATAGGAGAAAAAAAAAGTTTTAACCGAGGGAATATTTCCTGTTAGTCAAAATATAATTGTGTTTGGTTTAAATTGTGCAACTTCATTTGATTTAATTTGAATCTAAATTCATTTCGTATTTCGTTCAAACAAATTGGACAAACAAAAGAAAAACGAACAAATATTAACGTACGAAAAAAAGTCGCGGTGAAATTGTCGCCTGTTCCGGTAATATATATTGTGAAATAGGAAGGGAAAATATTTGACCAAAAATCATACAGATGAAAAACTATGAATAGAGACAATTTGGCGGATATACATGGCCCTCAATTTACATGGTATGACAGCATGAAATGATGCCGGCTCTCAAACTCACATATTCCTCCGCAATGCATATCAAAACAAGTTTTCTGTAATTTTGCGCGTGTGCTCGTTTTATATTATTTTATTTTTTTGCGAGTGACAATCTTTCTCTCGTTCGCTTGCCGTGTATGTGGTTATTGCTGACTTTTTTTTTATCTTTCTATGTATGTTCATTTCAAAGTTAATTGGAAAAATTTCATATTCTAATCTAATAACATGTCTATAATCACATTGGCACATCAGCCAGCACCATTTTTATTCATACCGTCTGCTCACGGCGCATACATTGTATACACGGTACACATGCATTTGGAGCAAGCACATGACAAAACCCTTAAAAAAACAACATTATATGTGTGTATACTATATCAC